TTCAGTTCAATAATTTCAGCTTCCTTCCTTGATTTTATTATGGTATCAAAGCTCCAATTCCTTGATTTTATCAAAGTAGCTCTGCATTTCTATAAATTGTCCAAAAAACATATTTTTTTGTAAATTGAAATCAATTCCTCGAGTTGCCCGCAGGATCACTGTTCAAAGAATTTATTTAGAAGCCAAAATATATAAATTTTATGAAGAACAATAAAAGATACATGTTAAAAACTATCAAATTGGAGAGTTAAAAGACTTTCACTATATGAAAATTTTGCACAATCATATAGAATCCCTCACAAACTTCAAACCCTACTCACCCCCAAAAGGATGCTCAAGTTTCACGCCAAGTTCGTCTATAACCATCTTAAACATGGGATAAAGAAAATACAACAAGGAGGCTCATATTCGTGGGCTTGGTTAACTGATCTTATTCTACGTAGGAAACAATAAAGAACAACAAAAAAACCCGTTGTATTAGAAAACAAACGATAAAATTCCAATTCTTATTTTTAATTGAAGAATACTAAGTCAAAAATCCTAACATACTCTATTCAATATGTTCTCTTAAAATTATTAAACAAATTATTCTAAGGTTAGCTTTTTCCTAGACATGAAATCATATCATATATAGAATTTTATTGGTAAGGATTCTGTGTTGTAGTTGATATTGTCAGATACAATGAACATGGCCTTAAGCAGGAATTCAAAAAACATTATATCAAGCATGTAATTCCTTTGGTCGGAGTTTTTGCTAACAGATTTGCTTCTCAATGAATTGATATCCCATATACACGCACTGTATATATTGTGGGAATGACCGGATCCATTGCTAAAACAATCTTGTTATAAGTAAATATCACGCGGTACGTAGCGTATCTAATTATCGAACTGTTGTTTAAATAAAATTGAGAAAGAGAGATATATGTTGTAAGTTGTAAATTATTGATGAATGACAATTGTACCCCTGCAACCCTAGATATTATTTCCATATGTATCCCTATTCATTCCCTATAAATATAGGGTTTTGGTTCTCATTATAATACACAGAAATCTATTGACTTATCTTTTTCTTTCTTTTTATAATACGTTATCAACACGATAGCTTAATTTTTCAAAATTTAGTGAATGTAGTAATTTTTTTTAAAGCATAATCATCTACCACATGTACCAAAATTAATTTGGTGACATGTGATTTTTTTTCAATATACACATACATCATAACGGTGCAA